ATACCTTTAATTGTCTGCCTTTCTACGTAATCAGGTTTTCTAATTGCTGTGAGATTTTTCAAATGTTCATGGTAATCATTTCGTACATTGTAGAAACTAGTTCAGTTGCATGCAAAATAACGGCTCTCCGTCTTAATTTGGGCTTCTAAAAATTTCGAAAGCAAACAACTGACGGACGTGCATGTATATTAAGAATACAAATACTATAAAGGCTCCATTAGACGCTGCGGAATCTTACAACCACTGTTGTTGCATTGTTAGTGTATATTAGTAGACAATTTTGTATTGCACGAAAAATAAATGGTCACCTGGTCCGCAATTAAATTTTTCAAACAACAATTGATGTGTTTGTGCCACATCACAGTTGAAAAAAAAAGCTTTTAAAAAAAAGTAAAGAAGGTTTAAATTTATGAGAGGTAAGTGAAATATTGTTAACTTAGGTTTACTGCATTCGATATCGAATCCATTCACGTGCGAAACACAAAATAGCAGGTTTTGTGAATTTGTTGGCATTCGATTGCTTTCGAAACGTAATAAATTTTTTATACACCCCATTTAACATCTCTGTTTTTACGGTTAAAATTACTTACATTGTAATTTTGAAGGCATATCTGTTTTTAACTAACATAAACAATTTTATTCCTCATTTGAACTTTAAAAATGTTCCTAAATATTTTACAACTGTGCAGTGTTACAAAAAAGAAATTTTTTTATGTTATGGTTATGTTATATATTGTCATTAAGCCGTAAAAACAAAACACGAAAAACTATCTGAAATTAACTTAAACTTTTTATTTAATTCTATACGATTACCAAATTAAGACATTTTGTTTCTATTTACTTTGGCAGTCAGAAATGAGAAAATGCTGTTCAACTTTATTTGCTATATTTTGTTTTAATACACAATACAGTAAAATGTGCTATAATTTACAAAATGCAACTTTGTGTGATTTCCTATAAAGACGAGATTAGCAAAATGTAATATATCGGCTTATTTTATTGTTGCATGCAGCGACTCTATTCACTTTTCGTTTTTGTTTGCTTTTTGTTGGTGTGCATGTTTTTTGAAAGCAAGATCTAATCTATTCTTCTAAACTTACAAAAAAAAAAAAAAAGGAAAGAATTATTATTACGAATAAACGCAAAACTGATGTAGTGATGACAGGTCGAATGACTGTTACGCACTTTTACAGAGTAGCCTTTTTTCCCAAAGGTTAACAGAAAGTTCAGTGGTTAACAGAAAAATCACTACAAATGATTTCAAATGAATTATTTTGTTCTCCTTCTTTTTTATTTTCTTCTAGAATCGTGGTAGTTTTGACACTTGGTTGACCTTTACAAAAAAAAGGCCAGCTAACGGTTTTTTCGCAAGAAGTCAAAGAACTTCGTTACGTGTTGTGCAAAGCAAGTGAGTAAAGTTTGAAGAAGACTAACTGTAAAAAGGGAATTCTGTAAAATAAAATTAAAAAAATAAAAAGTGGAATTCGCAAAATTTAAGAATTTTACAACGTCATATTGAAGATAACAACCTGACACTTATTGGGCTGAACTTGTCCGAAAATATTTCCTCCATCTTTCTGGTGTCTTTTTACTTAAACACACAATTGGAACGGGCGGCATTGATTAGGTTTGAACTTTTCAATGTAAAGATTTCGATCATTTCAATCATATTGAAAAAAACTAGATTTTCTCTTATTCAATGTACTTATGTAAAAATAGCGAAAATATAGTAGTATGCTTGGCATACACGTGAACCTTTTTTTTCATTTTTCATTACTTAGCCAGCCATAGAATTTGTGCCATTTTTAACCTATAAATTATATAGGGATATCAATTAATCAGTACGTTTTTTCCAATGTAAGATGCAAACTGGAAATATGAATGGTCTTTGAGAATAACCCGAAGTCGATAGAGAGAGTTGGTTTTAATAAATCAGAAAAATGGTAAATAAAAAATCTCTCTCATCTGTTAAATGGAACGAAGTGGTGGAAAAAAATCGTAACAGCTGGATACATAATGTAATAAACAATAATGAAGAACCTGAGAGAATTAAGGAAAAAACTGAAGAAGTTTTTATTAAAAAAAGTCGGGATATGATAAAATTATTATGATTTAATTGGGTACGATGGAATGGATATTTGAATCAACACCAAGCGTCTCCCGTAAAGGCATATTTTGCGCATTTCTGGACTTTATTGGCATAGAAAGTAGATGTAGTAGTGTACACGATGATTTTACAGAATTTATTAGGATGCTTATAAATGAGGTTGATTATATATTGAGATTTGGACAAGCAAAGCTTTCAATACATAATCATAAAAAAAAAGAAAAATATTAGTTTTAAAATTTATTGTAATTTATTTACATTAAAAACAAAATAAGAAAAATAAAAACGTTCAACTTCAAGACTAGTACTAAAATATATTTATAGATTCGTACTCTTTGTACAACACCAAGTATTAATAATTTTCCCCATACATCTAAGGTCCCAGTAAATAAGCAGATAACCCAGGGTATGAAATTCACATTTTATTATGCTTATTATTTTATTATTATTTTGATTGACTTTAAAGGCAATCAAAGAGACAAGAGCTTGGTGCTGAGAGAAACTAATGTTGCATTAGGACTTCAAAAAGTTAGCGGATAACGGCCGGAGTTGGGAGAAGACAAAAACGCAGTTGGCGTGAGTGAAATTTCTATTGAAAACGAATCGGAAGAAGTGAAAAGTAAAGTGAATGGAGATGAAGTGGGCAAGGTGAATAATCCAGAAAGTTCACTTGTTTCTGCTGGTTTTCAAACAGCGAATGGTAAAAAAATCTCCATATCGAAAAAAAGCCAAATATCCGTACAAAATATTCTAAGAGAATTTCAAGACAATTTGCAAGAAAAGAATTATGAAACTGAACTAAAAGATATAAAAGCTCGGATGTCGATTAAAGTATGGAGTCCAAGTTTGGAAAAAATACAAACAGCAGTGCGCAAATAGCCAAAAAAATAGGCTTTCAAGCGATGTGCGAAAAAGGCAAAGAAGAAAGAATGAATGAATATCCCAGCTGCAGCAGCAAATTATCAGCAGCTGGTCCAATGCTGTGTCGTAAAAAGTATTTGTTATCATTAAACCCAAAATTTAACTGTAGGCCACCCCCCCAACTTTGTGAGACACCGAACAGAAACACACGACAAATCGAGACTACGACACCAGAATTAGGGGAGTTTATTAATAATGCTGTTGAAACAAGTACACCAGGCGTCAATAGACCAAAGAGGGGCGGCCTCGGGCTTAAGTACTCGTACTAATTTAAAGAAATAACAAATTTCAAATCAATCAAATTTTCTTATAAGATAAATTTATATTTTTTAATGTTAGTACATATTGAGTCCTTTCTTATCCTTTTTTTTATTGGGTTCGATACTCATATGTTCAAGGCTCTTCAACTCCATGCAAGTTTAAATTAGTTTTGCTATTTTTTCGCATTTTATTTAATTAATGACATTTGGATGTATTTTTCTTATCCTCGGTTTCCTGTATCTTTTTGCTTTCTTATGCTTTTTTCTTATTTAATGATTTTCTTACTATTTTATATTACATTGTATAAATTACATGCAGGTAGTTTGTATAAATTGTAAACCCTTTATTTAATTGTATGAAAAAACAGTAACTTGTTTACGTATAATTTTTGCTTATATAAAATTGAAATAGCAAGATTTTGCTTGTCTAATAAAAAAACGAGTATAATCTCTTTTTTTTGCCATTTTTAATAAAAGATTTCGATTAGTTCATCCTTTGTAGCACGCATTAAAATATTGTATACCATATATTTATTGAAATATAATATGTAATCTTGTATATATAAATGTATAAAAAATAAGCATTTATCTCCGCTTGTACGTCTCCTGAAGAGTTTTATACAATTTTTATAGACCTGGCGTTCGATTTTCCTCTATTTTTCAAAATTTTCTCTTCATTCTTACCATACATTCGTACAAGTGCTTGAAGTGCTTGAAATTTAATATATTTATTTTATTTGAAAGATATCCATTGATTATAAGTACTCGATTTAATATTTCATTCTTGCTGGATAAATGCGGACGTGCTCATAATGTTAAAGGTGAAGTTTATGAAGTGGATGAAGAAATGTTGAAAAAATTAGATGAATTAGAAGAGTATCCAGAATATTACGATCGTGAAATACAAGAAATAAGAATGGAAAAAAAGGATGAGTAAGTTCAAGCAGATTTATTCTGGAGATAGTATTGTTTTTTTTTTTTTTTTGAAGGTTTAAGAAGTGCTGGTTATATATAATGAGAAACTGCCCAGACCACTTATTGCAAAAACTCTTATGGTAAAGCAATTGCCCGGTTTTGTTGTCGCATTTTATATGAGAAATTAGATGGACAAATTAAACGACATCTGAGGACTGTTCGGAAATTACTTTTACTTTGGAAAATTGCTTGGTTTATATGAAAATTATGTTCAAGCATTCAAAAAAATTTAAGTTTAAAAAAATTCAATGGGCCTTTTGAAAGGTAAATTATTTCAATATTGAAATCGCGCAATCCATGACCCAATAAAAGATTTTTCAATCTTTTTGCATCTTTTTTACATATATTTTTTCTTTCTTAGTTATTCAATGCGATCTCTGCAATGATTACCTGCAAAATGAATGCATCAGATACTTACAAGATTGGGAAATAGGATTCAGCTGTTACACCGCCGTTTAAAGCAGTTCAAACTATAGAAAAAGAGCTTTAAAAAAGAAATGCGAATAGACACGTTCAGAGTTAATGGATTTACTCACTTCTCTTTTGTTTTTTTCGCATTTGTAAATATTCGATATGTTGATAAAATTGTAATAAATAAAAAAAATATTCTGGGGCTCTGGAAATTAAAACTCATGCCTCACTTTCGCCTTTGGCATAAAACCTATGCTTAGCTCCGAATTTTTTTAGAAACGTTTTATTCGTTTATGAAAAAGTACAAATTTCAATTCATATAAGTCATGAAGCCACTAATCAGCATATAGAGTACAAAATTTTAGTGAATACAAAAAAACAGGGTTAAATCGTTCAGTTTTAAAAAAAGCAACAAAATTTAAGGTGTTAAGCGCTTAGGATCGCGTGGGAACATCGAAGTTTTTCGTATATTATCAAGACCCAAGTATAACATAACAACACGCTCCAAACCAATACCTCCGCCCGCGTGAGGTGGACAGCCAAACCGGAACGATTCAATGTAGGCCGCAATTTTATTAATATCTGAAATATGATAGTTTTTTAATTTAAATAACTGTATTCGCGTATTCCTTACCTATGCCATGGTGTTTAGCTCGTTCTGTCAAGAATTCAGCGTCATGTATACGCTGAGCTCCAGAGAGGATTTCTTCGCCACGCATAAACATATCATAAGAATTGGAATAAACGGGATTATTAGGATCAGGCATTGTGTAGAAGGGACGTATGGCTAAAGGAAATTTATCCAATATGTAAAAATCAGTGTCATATTTAGCCTTAACCAAACGACCAAGCATCTTTTCATTAGGAGTGGACAAGTCTTCTTCGTCGCCCGTCTCGATGCCAGCTTCGCGTAACATAGCAACACCATCCGAGAATTTTAAAACCAAGGAAGGCTCCAAAAATTTGAATGGCTCTACGTTGAATTGCTGTCGCACTGCTTCGATTTCAAGTGCATAAAGATCACGCAGCCCTTTGAACATGGCAGTGAAAGTGTCACCGATGGTATAAAGCACTTCATGATAGTGGTATTTGAAAGCCATCTCCAAATCAAGACCAACAAATTCAGTTAAGTGACGATGGGTATTAGAATCTTCTGCACGGAATACAGCACCCACAGTGAAGACTTTGTCGAAGTCAGCGGCAATTGCCATTTGTTTATATAATTGAGGAGACTGAGCCAAATAAGCCGAATCTGCAGAGAAACATTTTTAAGTAATCGAAAACTCGTAAAAGGATAAACCTTTATACCCTTAAAATAGCTAACAGTGAAGACATTGGCCCCTCCCTCACTAGCTGCTGAAATAATTTTGGGTGTATGGATTTCAGTAAATCCTTTTTCCGTAAGTATATCTCGAAAGAGGCGACAAACACCCGCTTCGAGTCGAAATATGGCCTGATTTGCTGGTGTCCGCAAATCTAAAACACGGTTGTCTAAGCGCGTATCTTGATTTACACGTGTAGTAAGAGCATCAGTGTCATCTAGATTGTCTGGACGTGAAGCATCTTCTATTTGCAATGGCAACTGCGCTTTAGCTTGTGACACCACGAATAGTTGTTGTACAGCCAATTCCAAATTTTGCTCGGTACAAGATTCTATTTTACTCGGCACTGCCACAGCTTTACCTTGAATATCAACAATGCTCTCCTTGTGTATACTGAAAAATTTTAAAATAAAAGCTTAGCATTAAAATAATTTTGTTAAAGACTTACTTGCCGGCAAATTTCACCATTTGTTTGGATGTATCACCACCCACAGATAAAATGCACTGTACCGTACTACTTTGTTGACGCAAAATGAGGAAACATTGTTTTCCTTTGGCTCTTGAAGTATGGACCCGACCTCTTAACCATATTGCGGATTTGCCAATATATTGAGCCAAATTTGCAATGGCCACAAAATGTCTGTCTTCATATTTGTCTTTTGACATAATAACCTCGGCGATTCCATAACGGCCCTTGGAACTATCCTCCGAATTATCCCCTGCATTATTGGCTGCTTGGCTAGCAGCTGCTTTATACTCGGCTTTCTGTAGGGAAGCAGAATGTCAACAAAAACCAAACAGAAATTTTAATCGTGGAGATATACTTTAGCTGCTTTTAATGCTTCTTTGGCTTGCTTTTTTGCAGCTTTTGCCGATGTGGCTTTCCCCTCAGTTGGCGGTGTAACTGAGTCTTCATTATCTGCTACCATTGCAAAAACACTTTATCTGTAAACAAAAACAAAAATAAATCCTATATATAAAATTAAAGCTGAAAATGACCGGCAATTGCGCTCATAAATGAAAGAAGCAGAGAGATTAATCATTGATAACAAAGCATTTGTCAACCACTGCCATTGCATTTACAATTTATTGCATCACGCCGATTTTTAGGTTTCTTAAAGAAATATATTTTTTTACGACGGCAGGAAACAATAAAAATAACGCGTGATGTAAATAAACTTCTAATTTTTAATATTTTGATGAAAATTTTTCCATAAAATTTAATTTTTTATTTTTATTCAGCCTTTACAAAATAAAATCAAAGATAATCATAAGTTTTCAAGTCATACCCTGTTTTTGCAATATTTATTGAATTGGAAAGCAAAATATTGACCTTTCTAATATTTTGACTACTTTTTTTAATTTTTACTTTTATATTAGTACGTCTTACCTTTTTTATTTAAAAATAAAAATACCGCAACAAAAACCACAACGATTGCTTTTTTTATGGCAGATCAAGTGCGAAAAAAAATGCAAAAAAAATATGCTGAAACATATGTTTTGACGTGTCAAAAGAGGAACGACTAAATATTCTTTACATAAAAAGCAGGGATGTTACTAATATAATGGACAAAATTGTTTGCAAACAAATATTAAAAATAAAAGCAATAAATGAACTTATTGATAATTTGTTTTTTATATACAAAGTGACTCTTTTATAAACAGACATACATTTTTGTACATTTGAGAATTATGAGAGCTTGGCAATCACGCTGCCGATTGTTAATAAACTTGAACACTTGGCATCATTGTCTTATATTCGTGCGTTTATCCAGAATCATCCAAAACAAGAGTGCCTAAGAAGAAAATTGCAAAATTGTTCTTTAGTAAATTTGAGAAGAAAGATAAAACAAATTTTCAGATTAATTGTAAAAATTGTTTTAAAAGGTAAAGATATTTTTTGTATACATTTACATTTCGAAACGCAGTTGTATAATTCGGAAAGGAAAGTGAAAGTGATAATTGTTAGCAATTGCATAGAGCTCGGTCGGCATAGGCGAAAACGACGTCGAATAGTGCATTTTACGCAAAACCACTTTGAGATCATGAGTCACGCGTTACTAACATTTACACAATTGTTACTGCCAAAGTACGTCCGTCCTTAGAAAAAAGTGCGGTGTTTTCCAAGATGACGACATCGATGAAAGTTTTTATTCTATTGTTTCACAAAAGCATATTGCATTCCCTGCAAGAAGTGCTGTTCTTATTTATACAATCACAAAATCTGTATATTATTGTTCATTGCTCTAATTCAAAAGCAGGGGAATTCTCCGTTTAAATTGTGATAAGTGATTAAACTTTTTAGGCACTTAGATGGCCTCTCCTGCGGGAGAGAAAAGCTGTTTCTTTAATCGATCTTGTCGTTATCGCTTATTTTATTATTTTATTTTCTAGGTATTTTTTTTATCTATTTCAAGTAGAAAGGAAAGGTGATTCAATTTTTGATATTTTGTAACCTGTAATATGTCGGGTAAGTTAATTTGTTTGGATTCTACTAAATGGATTTTCTTCTTTGTTTTTATAATGTTTCAGCTTTAATTTGTTAGCAAAAACTATAGATACAACTATAGACTTAACTTTGTAAAAGATAGTGTTTTGAAAATTGGGTTATTGTGTGCCGAAGCAGACTCTTTGTCTGAAACATAATGTCCTGGCAAGGTGGTGCTTATTACCAAGGTTTTATGTTGTATATCAATCTATTTTTTCTAATATTAATTATGTAAACATTTTAACCAAGTATTGCATGCTTGTTTACTACGCGTTACTAACACACTTCATAATTCTTTAACAGGTTTAGAAATCCCTATAAATGTCTGCTGTCTGCTACTATTTCATAAAAACCGTTTTCCTACCATTGAACATAAAGTAAACACTAGTTAAAGAAAACATCTTTTCCGTTTTAGAAATTTTTCTAATTATCTAACATAGCCAATCTTAAGCATGTTGTTGACTGGCTTCCCAAAAAAGTCATAAGTAGTAAAGAAAATTTGTTTTCAATAACTTAACCTAACAGTGTATTAAACTTGAAGGTAATGCATGTATTTTGTCAAATGTAGAATGTAGCACACAAAAAATTATTGTTAAACATAAGTCTTTGCGATATATAAAAATGAGTGATTTCGAAATTGTTTTAGCAAGAAAATGCAGTAAAAATGTTGCCTTTTTTTCTTTAATTTAAAGTAAATCCAGTAGGACCAATAAATGATCAAGTATTAAAGTTAAAATTCCTCGTCGATTAAATGTTGATAAGATGGTTTCCATCGATAAATTTAATTCAGATTTTGCAACTTATGAATATTATTTTGTTATTTGTCCAAAGTTCATTAAGAATATTCTATCAGCAAAATTTTGGCAAACATTTGCATAAGAGTTAAAAGAAATTTTTTCAGTAATGTCAATAAAGAATGCATAACCAGTTACCATGGTCTAAAAAGTGATTGCTTCGCAAAACCCAGAAGACAATAACAAATTGATTTCGGAGCAATAGAAGACGATCTTAAAAGCGATGAATGTTGTCAGGGAAGTAAGTTTAGCTACATATGCCAAACTCTTTTTTTACGCGGTAGAAAGGTTTTTTAGAAAGCCATGCGAAAAATCGTGTAAAAAAACTTGCGACGTATGGCAAATTTGAGGGTATGTTCCATAACTTTGAAAAAACGTGCAAGCTGAAAAGCTCTAAATATTTTTCTAAAATACCGTGCAAAAAAAGTTGAAAAAAGGTATTAAATATGTACAAAACGGAAAGAATTCATTTTTATTATATGAAGCAATCAACATTCAGTCCATGACTACAACATATAAAAATTTGATTTAAAATTGGAAATAAAAATCAATTTCGCAATCAATCAATTAACTTTAAACTTTAAAACTTTATTAAAAAAAATTTTAAATTAAATTAATTAAATAAACTACGAAGTGAACACTCGTAACATGAACTAAGTGCTGAAGTACGGTGGGACAAAGAAAAAAGTGACCATAAAAGTCAGGTATTCGCCGTAGCAGACCAAGTCATTAACAAGTATGTGGGTACAAATCGACCGACTTCTGATCTCGCCCAATTCTATTTTGTCCCTGTAAGATGATGTAAAAAAAATTATTTTTGATAATCGTGTTGGAGAAAAAGAACTGAGCGTATGTTATTGTTAATATATCCGGTTCGTTTTGCCTTTTTGCGAGCTACTCTTTAAGACAATAAACTCAATCGTGCAAAGACGAAAGTTTATGTTCTCTTGGATTTACTGCGTGATTCTGCTCTCAGCGATTGTGTGTAAATTGAGCATATTTTTTGTTTATATATAGTAACGTAAAAGAAAGCATTTTCTTGCTATATTGTGTTAATGCATTTTTTTTTTGTGTGTAGCTTGTAAAGCGTTTGCCTCTTTCCCCTTGCATAATACCGCAAACTAGTTCTTACCTTACCTTTTGTTTTATTCAGACTTGGCATAAGTTCTCCTATGCTGAAGTCCCAAAAGACTTGTTTAATTTCACATCTCACCTTTTTGTACTCAGCCCTTCCCAGTCACGGTTCTCCGCACAGAAAACGTTCGTATGTATGTTTTTTCTTTAATAACTTTTAATTCTTATTTGTTATTAGTCTTAGTAGTAGTCATTTTGCGTACAATATCATAAAATAAATATTCTGGTTGTGAAAATATGCTTTATAAGAGCAAATTTTCTCCTACGTGAAAAAGATTTGCAAACAAATAAGAAGATGGTGTATATAACAAAGCTATCGTAGTAATTATTTCTTTTATTAAAATTACAATGAAGGCTTTGTGCAAATCGTTTCAACGTTTTGTGGTTTTCATATTTGCTTGGTTTGATTAATCTCATGTATGTTTTATTTTAATTTAATTACTTTTCCATTTTTATTTAATACCGTTAATTAATATTTGTTTTTTTTTTTTTTGTTAACCAGATCCTAACCAACCGTTCTATGGTGGCGGCGCTTATCCTCCGCCACAAGGCGGTTATCCTCCACCACAAGGTGGTTATCCTCCACCACAAGGTGGTTATCCACCACCCGGTGGCTATGCAGCACCGGCTGGAGGTTACCCGCCACCCGGTGGTTATGCAGCGCCCGCTGGCGGTTATCCTCCCCCTGGTGGTTATGGTGCGCCTGATGGCGGTTACCCTCCTGGCGGGTACGTACCACAACCTGGTTTTATTCAACCACCTCCGATGAGTCCCGGTTACGGGGCTTACGATGATCCTGAAGCACCGAAAAATTTCTCCTTTGACGATCAAACCGTTCGTAAAGGCTTCATTCGGAAAGTCTATATGATTTTAATGGTAAGATATTCACAAAAATACAAAAATTCTTTTAATAAATCGCCCAAGTTTTATTTGCAATATTTTAGGGTCAATTGATGGTAACTTTCGGATTTGTGGCTTTATTTACTTTCCATCAACCCACTAAAGATTTTGCCAGGCATAATCCGGCTCTATTTTGGGTGGCTTTGGCTGTTCTCTTAGTAACCATGATTGCAATGGCTTGCTGTGAAGGTGTACGACGTAAAACTCCTATGAACTTCATATTTTTGGGTCTATTCACTTTGGCTGAATCATTTCTTTTGGGCATGACCGCTGGCAACTACGCTGCAAATGAGGTGAGTTATATAAAAAAAATATATGTAAATTGTAAAATTTTCGAGAAAGGTCTCTAGCAAGAATAGAACTAATATGCGCTTTGGATCGAATGTTGAATACCCATAATTTTAGGCCAACATGTCTAACGCAACTCTCTCTCATCTTAAAGTTTGGAACAATCATGCATAAAGAAATCCCTGAATCGCTTTTAAATTTACGTCCAACTTTTAGTGTCCACCATTCCAAGATGGGATTGGAAAGTAATTGGGGTGAGTCGTTAAGAACGATATGTAGATTGCACTTTTAATCGTCCTTGTCAGATTTCATAAAAGTGCGCATTGTACAATACGCGCTCGCATATTTAAAAACTCGATCTGTGGCCATCAGTAGTAAATGTATATGTAAGTAAAAGCTTCCTCTCGTACCATGAGCTCTTCCAAGATAGATCGGGTAAAAAAAGCGTCCGTTTTTTGTTAAAACGATTTGTTGAACGGCAGAGAGACAAGGAGCCACAGTCAAGGAAAAATGTTTATAAATACTGTAGCTTTTAGTGACTATCATAAACTTATGAAAATCGTCTTTGGAATAATTATACCATGCTTCACTTGTGATACAAGCCTGCGTTAAGCTTTCTGCGAATGTGAACAACGACCAGAAGGACTCGCATTCGCCTTTTATTAAGCTTCTCTGTCCCCCTGTCCGTATTGTATTCTTATGCCCAGTAGGCGGATAGCAGCTTTTGAAATATTTTGGTAAAATTTAAAACGTCGGCATGGTTTGGCCCAAGGACGAAATTTAATGGAGAAAAGACTAAATGGAGGCAAAGGAGATACTCATTATAAGATTTTAAGTCTTTCGCTTGGTTTTAGGTAGAAAATAATAAAAAGACATGGGACACAAATGTGAAGTATCCTTATATATTAGGTAGGTTAGGTGCTTTATCAGAAGATATATTCTTAAAAAGATTATCTTGTGTAGACTTTGCAATTTGAATAGACTTGGCGCAATTTCATGCACCCAAGATGCGGAATTCAATTGTATTGGACACATTTGATTATAAAACTTCATTAAGATGGCATTATTGCTGCTGCTGTCCTTTTTAATTCTCAAAGAGATGCTCGCCTCCCTTACTTGCGGCGATGCTGAAAGCAGCATGCACAAGCATGTTACGTCGACAATAGAATGACACGATACCTAAATTCTGAACTCTCAATTTGTATGTTGAGTTTCGGGTGAGAGTTTAAGAAGACATTACAAAAGACGACCGATTTTATATCGTTGCGTAACATGATCACTAATTCTCTTAAAAACACTCGCAACGTGCGTAAACAGTCGTCACGTAGGAAAAGAAATTCTTTGTAAATCTCCGCGAAATGTTTAGCCTAGTCGTCAAGTGCTGTTGGAAACATCGTGGCTGTAAATGAAAACACACAAGAAAGTTGTGCGAAAATGAAAAGAAGCTGTAATCAGTTCCATGGATTTAAAAAAGATAGGATATCCATTGGAAATAGAGTAAAGAACGGCGTTTTCAACATTTGTTGTTTTTTAATTCTGTCTTAAAGTGTCCATTCAATGTAAATATATATTTTTCTTTCAACTCTTCAATTAAAAGGTTCTTATGGCAGTCGGAATAACAGCTGCCGTGTGCTTCGCATTAACGCTATTCGCTATACAAACCAAGTATGATTTTACCATGTGCGGTGGTGTGCTGCTGGCAGTTATGGTTGTTTTCTTGATATTCGGAATTGTGGCTATTTTCATACCCGGAAAAATAATGACAATAGTTTATGCTTCGTTGGGAGCTGTAATCTTCTCCATTTATTTGATTTACGATACCCAATTGATGATGGGAGGGGAGCACAAGTACTCAATCAGTCCCGAGGAATATATATTTGCTGCTTTAAATCTATACTTGGATATTGTCAACATTTTCATATATATCTTAACTCTCATAGGAGCTACCAGGGATTAAGAAAAGCAAAAAGGAAACGAAAGGTAGTATATATGGTAAGAAGATGAAAAACCAAATTTTAAATTGATGTTAGTTAAACAGTAAAGTTTAAATTAAATAAGAAATCGCCGAAGAAAATTAAAAGTATATTTACCATAAATTTAAACTAACAATAATTTTTTGAAAAAAAAAAAAACTAAAGGAGCGAATTCATCGATATAAAAAAAAAGCCAATAAAAATTAGAAAAAATAAATAAAAGAAAATTAATCCTTATTTCCTTTCGTCACGTATTTTCTATATCCATTATATATACTTAATTTTAAAATGTATGCTCACCATTACTGGTAGACGTAGGAACGTAAGACTAATGAATTATTTGTATAACATACGTTAGTAGTAAAACAAAAGTATATATATATATATATATAACAATATGTATATGAAATCGAAACGTGTTAACTGAGAAATTAAAATAAATAATTTTGTTTTTTTTTTTTTTTTTTTCATTTTTTCGGTTTAAACCGTGTTCCTCTGATTTTGTAACTTAAGCCAAACTAAACCCAAAAATTTTCAATAAGAATAAAAATTGAAACAACGTCTCGTTGTTCTTCTAAAGCAGCGCATCACCAATTGAATATAATTAGTATTAATTTCAATTTTATGTAAATTAATTGTTGCTTAAACCTGTATACTTATTACAACACACTGAAATACATACATACCGATGCCTACAAAGAAAACCAATAAACATACTTATACATTAAATTATTATAAAAGCGGATAATAAACATATAAAATAAAATCTATTATAAAAAATATATATTTGTGTGAATAAAGGTAAATTATATTTAAAAAAAAAGTGTTGAAAATATCGATTGCAAAATTCTATCTGTATACCAGTTCATCAAAAGTTCTTAGAAATTCTTAAGCCCTAAAGCATTGTTGTGCAGAGATATATTTAGTTTTCGCGGACTAGGGGATTTTGAGATAGACCCAACTCCCATTACACTCAAAATAGTCCTGAATTGAGGTAGATTTATTCGTCCGTCTGCCCAACTTACCGATAGCTACAGGAAGATATTTTACCGAAATTTGGCACAACGACAAATTTTTTTTGGTCAAGATCGGAGCGCTTTTTCGACCACTTTCTATATAATGACTTGGTTTAAAAAGTCTTAACGTGAATTACTGTAGAGTGGTAGAGGATTTCTTATGGTGGGCCGTAGTCTAGCACAATGTTTCTACTCGTTCTCTCTATCAAAAATGTTTTCTACTATGAAATCATTCCTTTACATAATATTTTCCAGAACATTTCCAGCTTATGCTTTTACTAGCTTCCTAGACTAGAATTTTTTTCAAGTTATCTGATCATTTCTTTCAGCCTTCACATTATCCTTAGAAGATGAAACAAAGGTGTATTGACATTAATTTCGAAAAAAAAATCGAAGGTTTTGAACAATAATTTGGAAATTGTTACCTAAGGCAATTGTAGACATTTTGTGCATAAATCTGCATCATTAAGAAGTTATAAAAGAAAACTACGGAATTTGTGATTATTAAGTCGTACAAAAGTAGGAAACGGAGCTATGTAAAGCATATAATGCGAAGAAAGTACGCCATGTTTCCTGCAACGAAGCCTGTAGCGCCATTATTGAAAGGAAAATGTAATATTATTATTACAGGTAGACTTTAATCGACAATGTTAGAATGGCAATAAGATAAAATGCTACATTTGAAAAAAGTGACAAAAAAGTGGCCCATTAACTGCGACGACGGTCTGCGATTTACTTTAAGTCGCAGGTTGGCTTGATTGGGTAGGCCGCTGACACCGTCTAATATTGCAATTAATATTAATTATATCCATAATGAATAAAAAGCACAAGGTTAAAAAGTTAAAAGATTATGCTGGGAAGTGTCATTCAGGTCGGTGCAGTCACATTTAGTAGGTCAACTGTACGTGGAAGTTGAAGACGTCCGGAAACTGATCGATGGGTATTTCCCATCGGAACCACGAATTTTCTATCGCGGGGGCATCCATAAGCTACCTTATAAATGGCAAAGCTATAAGGTATATATTTATTATATTTTAATCAATCATTTGCTTTTTTTGGCAGAATGTATACAAATCAATGGGTGGTATAGAAATTCGAAGTTAAAAACAGCTGCAAAATTTATACGAATCGATGGGTGGAATAGAAATTCGAAGTAAAAACAACTGCAAAATTTATACGAATCAATGGGTGGTATAGGAATTCGAAGTTAACACAGCTGCAAAATACATTCAAATGAATGGATGGTATAGGAATTCGAAGTAAAAACAGCTGCAGAATTTATACAAATCAATGGATGGTATAGGATTTCGTATATATACATATAAAGAATCAGAAATTTAATTGAAATAAATCTACTGTGAAGGAAGAGTGATTTCAACAATAATCTCAATTAGAAATATAATTTCAAGCAATTTCAGCAAAGTCATCAAATAATATATACTGACGGTAAGTGCATTTCTTTTGTTTATTTGTTACTAACGAAGCGCCAATTAAATGAGACTTGAAGTTTAATGTCTTATTTGTTCATTTCTAATTACTCTAACACAATAAAAGTTCTTTTTGAAAGAAGGTAAAAATTTATTTTTTTATTTATGTATATAGCGAGATATTAATTGCAAATATATATATATATATTCTGTATTATCTTTTGATTTATACGTTACACCACGATTGTGTGGAATTTCGCCAAGTGTCTATTTAATTAAAAAGTAATTTTTAAGAAAAATATAAAAAATCTTTTATCGCTTTGAAGCGAACATTAGAATTCGTAAATAGTAATGAGATAGAGTAGCGAAACTTCGATACCAAGATGTTTTACGTAATCGTAAAGAGAGTACTAGTACTAGTTGTGATAGCGTCACTTGGCAGACCGGTGCCATTTTCTCCATCAAAGATTTAACCTACTTGAATAAAATTCGCGTAAAATAAAAGAAAAAAAAATGTTAACAAAACCTCTCTCTGAGTAAATTCTCCATCAACCATAATGCGGTTCTCAAACAAACATATGACCCCTTTATGATATTCCAATCCAAGCTTAGCCTCGATGAAGAATTTCGCGGGTACGCGATAATACCGCTGGACGATCCTGCTCCTCTACGATAATAAAATAAAGAAAATTAAATGAATTCGACGCCTTTCTTTCAACTCACATTCATATCCATTATGTAGACCGGTGAACAACGCTTTTGGACCCTTTAATAATTTTTAATATTTTGTTGCTTACATTCAAAATGTTACGTTTTCATAATTTAAACAATTCTTTTACTTCGTCACATACCGCACCATGTTGTCGCTGTGAACAGTTTTACTGCATTTTTGTCTCCAGAATTTGTGCCGTGTCGTCAATTTGCATATCCAATTCTTTAGACCAATTAACTAAACGGAAAAAGTTGAAAGATATCAAAATTTTATTATCGGACAAGTGTAAATCGATTCAGTAGTTGATGCTGATCGAGAATATGTATATTTAGAAGTGGCTCTGGAGCTTCTTCTAGACGTTATCAACATTTTAATTAAATGAACGTAGCCCTGATTCTTCGGTGATGAGTATAAAAGCAGTAAGCTCTCATGAAAATTGACTTTTTGTCAATATGAATTTCGGTTTATGCGGATAAGGATTTAAACTTAAGCTACACGAGTAACTACATTAAGAAATATCCAAGAACATGATTTGTAAGTTTATTTCGCGTGTAGCGACAATATTATATGAAATGTGGAAACGCCTGTAATAGATTATCGTGATTGCTTAGTGCAGACTTTTCTAAATTAGCTTATTTTGCTATTCGACAGATTATGTTATCATAATAATTCGATTATGAAAATAATGTTTCCATTGGTTGACAGAATCTGTAGCTAAAAGAACGGATGTTTACAGTTCGATTCATTTAACTCATTGTTATTTCAAGTACAATCGTAATTCGTAATTCTATTGCTCTGATCCTTATATTCTTGTAGTAAGTGTAAAGATACATTTGAATTTTTACTGCTCTATTTATCAAGAGACAAATTGCCTTCATTTTACTCATTTGAATAACGTATTATTTATGTGGGAATTGACTAGATATGATGAAAGAATGTTCATACTTACTTCTGCCGACGGATAAAATTGGTTGCTGCAGCTGGTTGCGGGGATGGTACATGCATTTTATTGCTTTTACTATGATTATTTGATGTAACTTTCGCTAGGTAGTGGGACTGTTGATTCGTGTGCTGTTGCTGTTGAGAATAAGAATTAGAAGTAAGTCTGATGTGATTACCAATAGAAGCTGTGTTAGGCCCAGGGAAACGTCTGCGCTGAAATTGTCTACCATTGGTAGGAATCCTGCGTGAATTCACAAAACTACGTCCTTCACTAGAACTGTTTTGTTGGGATTGCTGAAGGGGATTACCTACTAAACCATTGGAATCATAGAAAATATAAGATGTACCTTGAATATTTACTTGCCGTAGCGCACCAACATTTCCTATATTAGGATTACGCATAATTTGCTGAATATGTTGTTGTTAATGTTGCTGTTGACCAGATGTATACGTACTGGCTTCACGATCGCGTCGGCTCATACGGACATGTTTAGAAATTTCACCTAAATTAAAAACATTTATTTGTTTATTCATCGACCCAGTACTCACACACCTAGCTTAGCTTTTGATAAACCGATCAGCAGCATTTGAGCTTCTGGACGACTCAATTCCTTTCAATTGCAATGTGGCGAAGAAGGCAACTTGCTGTATGATGAATCGTCGTTGATGACTGCATAATGCTTGGTTTTTGTTGATAAGATTGTCTAAACAGCAAATTTGCGAGATTTTCGCCATTGCAAATAGGAGTTTTCCGTATCTCGTTCCTTCGCATCGTTATTAATACCGTTTCCCTTATTAGGACTAGTATGAGTTGTAATATGAGTGGTATGAGAACCAAAGGGATTTGCGATAATTTAACATTTGATTTTGAGCCAGAGCGAATAAATATGGTAGATCAGATTTATTTTGTGTATTCATTGTATTCTTCAAAAAGTCACTAATCGAGGCTGATGATTGTGTGATATTTGAAATGTGTGCT